GATCTTGCTTTGCACAGTGGAAACTTTAAATCCAATGTAACTTTATGTCTTTGCCATGGCCTTTCCTCTGGAATTCCTATGGCTGATCTGCCTGCCACTACCCCACAGGCACAAATGGTCTGCTTTCCCCCCCTTCACACCCATTTCCAGCATAACACTTCTGGTAGAATCAGACATGGGAATGCACAAATAAGATAATGAGCATTGTAAATGATTCAGGTCCAGACTATATAAAAGGCCATAATCCCTTCACTCTACACAATTACAGTGGTATGATTCCACTTTAAAGGGTCAGGTTCCATTGTATGGATTTCTGGGATTCACAGTTTAGGGAAAGATATTTAGCATCTTCAGCCTACCAGACCTCTAGTGCCTCACCAAACTACAAACCTCACAATTCCATAGGATGCAGACAAAGCGGAATGATAATGCTATAATTGTATAAAGTGAAAGGTTCCTGAATTTACCAATATGAGCTTGCCCAAGTTTTACAATCTTAGAGGAGGGTTTTCTCTCAATCCTACCAGTTTCACAGGCACATTTAACAGGAAAGAGTATGCTGTTAAATTCTGTTCTTTTGAAGCTATATTAGCCTTATTTCTGCTTTCTTTCCACAAGCAGACAAAGACCATTTTTGTTTACCCAAACTGTTGATTGTTAACTTGTCTTTTCATTTTTTATTGATATGCTTTAACTACTTTTAACATTGTTACAGATTCATGTTTTTGATAGTGTTTATTTAATTGTTTTTAAACAGTGTATTATACCTTGTTTTAACTGGATTCTACTTTTAACTTAATTTGTAAACTACTTTGGGTCCTGTATTGGGGGAAAAATGGAACATTATAGATTAATAAATAAATGGGGCAATACAAAGGCTCCTAAAGGAAGTAGCAAAGTAGTAAAGAGAGTTAATAAAGCTTTGTTTGGAGGTACTTTAGAAAGGAACAAGCAGTGGCTTAAATACATCCTCTCTATTCACAGATATAAATGAATGCCAGTATAGCAGTCTCTGCACAAATGGCCAGTGTGAAAATCTTGAGGGATCCTTCAGATGTCTTTGTAGCCAAGGTTATCAGCTTTCCTCAGCAGGAGATCAGTGTGAAGGTGGGAGTATGCATGATACGTTTACTCTTTAAATAACATATATATGTTTGCCAGGAGGGAAAGGATTTTCTATAAATTGTGGGGATTTGCAGCATGATATTCCTCACCCAGGCTGCTGCCACACGACAAACTTAATGCAGTATGCTAGTGTTTTAACTGTCATGGCTCCATCCTTTGGTATCCTGGGATTTGTAATTTGTTATGGCACCAGAGCTCTACTATAGAGAAGGTTAAATATCTCACAAAACTACAAATCTCAGAATCCCATATCATGAATAGTAGCTAAAGCGGTGTCAGGCTGCATTAATTCTGCAGTGTAGGTGCAGCCCCAGTGTAAGATATTGACAGAAACATTCTCATGGCTATTGTTAACTGCCCCAACTTGACTTATAGCAATCCTGTGAATGAGAGACTTCCAAGGCAATCTGTCATCAACAGCCCTGTGCAAGTCTTGCAGACTCAAGGCTATGGTTTCCTTTACAGAGTCTATCCATCTGCAATGTGACCTTTCACCTTTCCAAGCATTATTATCTTTTCGAAGGAGTCATGTCTTCTCATAATATGGCCAAAGTATGACAGTCTCATTAAGTCATCTTGGCTTCTAAGGAGACTTCTGGCTTGGTTTGGTCTACAATCCATTTATTTATCTTTTTAGCAGTCCATGATATCCATACAACTCTTTTCCAGCACCACATTTCAAATGACTTGATTTTTTTTCTTAGCAGCATTCTTCTCCTATCCCTTCTAAAAAGCAAACATAGTGGTGCAAAAAATGGTGCAGATACATATGCTTCAACACATGTCCATAGCTGTGCTCTCCTGCTTCTTGGTATGGTGAAGTTTTTAGAAAAATGCCCAAGGTTTTTCTCCAAGGAAAATCCCTTTCATGCACCTTTTCCAAAGCACAGACAACAACAAAAAAGCTCACTCTTAGTTTATAAGTTTCTGAAAGGCCCCCAAAGAGGGCTAAAAAGAGCAGCAGACTGCAAGCTAGTGAAATTTAGCCTTCTTGTGATGAACATGGACACACTTGGGGAAGTAATTGGTTAACTTCCAAAATCAAATAATATCAGATGCATTCAAGGTGGTACAGTGTGTTACACAGCCAAGGAGAGGGCAAAATAAATAAATGCTTTCTAAGGGTAAACATGCATTTTTCATTTGCAGATGTAGATGAATGCCAACAGCAGCAGCTCTGCATAAATGGCCAATGCAGAAACATAGCAGGGTCTTATAGATGCATTTGTCCCCAAGGCTACCAGTTGTCATCTACAAGAGACCACTGTGAAGGTAAAAGTGTGATTTCTACAATTAATTTTTTCCCCCACAAGAATTCCACAACAGGAACAAATACTGTTCAAACTGAATTTTACTCTTTGCTAATGATACGTTTCCTAACTCTGTTAGAGATATTTGAGGCACAGTGTGTGTGTGTCTAATTATCAACATGCAAAATGTACAGACAATACATTCTAAAATAAATAATAAAAAGTAATTTATCGTGCAGCATTTTGTCAAATATTATTGGTCCAATTCATCAGTTCAGGATTAATTCTTTTATTCATTTATTCCATTTACCAAATAAATCTATTAATTTAAAATGTGTCTCATTTCCCAAAATCTCATCTTGTGGATAAATGTCAAGCATTTAATGGAAAACCAGCATTTTATTTGCCAACATACTGGCATACTTACTATTAGTGTACTAGTGCTAATAGACTAATAGCAGATTTTTTACACTGCTATGTTATTTTTTTTCACTATCCCTCACCCCACCAAAGAAGAAATGACAGTCTTTTTCTTGCAAACAGAGACTGTAATCTCTTTTTTGGTGGGTGCAGAGGGGTTCAGCCATCTTCTCCTGCACCCTTGCCAGAGAAGAAATGACAGTATTCTCCTTGTAAGGAGAGAGAATCATTTCTTTTTTGGTAGGCACAGAAGGGCACAGCCAGTTCTCTCCGCCTTTCTGTCCAAGAAGAAATGGCAGTATTCTCCCCACGAGGAGAGACTCTTATTTCTATTTTGGCAGGAATGTGCAAAATTATGTCCAAGAAAACTACAACTTTTTAAAAAAAAATCAAAGGAAGAGCACACATCTACAGGGCAGGGTACATAGGGTTCAGAATGTGGCATTATGGTGGCAGTGCGGAAATCAGATTGCATGGCCATTGATTACCAAAGCAGGGCTAAAGTGCTAATGTGGAGAAGATGTAATAAAGATTGATGCAAAACAGTATGCTTTTGTTATTAACCTAGCATGATTGTGGGAGGACAGCAAGCACCTTGATAAAGTATTTAGTCTACTTCCACAGATGCAGTCCATGCATTTGAGGAAATAGATCAAGTCTACGAAAGTTTATGCTACAACTTCTTTGGCTCAGTTAGCCACAAAGGTGCTACAAGATCCCTTTGCTATTGATATTCCAAACTAACATGGCTATGTCTCTGATTTCTATCCCCAATTTATAAGATTTACTACTACACTCCCTAGGCTCTACCAATTGTAGATACTTCAGTGGTATATTAATAATACAGACCTCTTGTAGTAGCCAAGGAACTATTACCTCTTGCCTGGCCCTATCCAGTACAGCCTGTGTCTCTGATTCTTACTAGAGAGGGAGTTTTAGACAAATTACAGGTTTTGTATCCCTTATATGGAATTCCAAAATCCCAGATCCTCCAAAATTCAAAATTGTTCAGATGGGTGTTTAAGACAGTGACTTGCTGATTATTCAATATATACAAACTTTGTTTCATGCACAAATTATTAAAAATATTACATATAAAATTACCTCCAGGCTATGTGTATAAGGTGCATGGAAAACATAAATGAATTTTATGTTTAGATTTGTGTCTCATCCTCAAAATATCTCCTTATGTATATCAAAATATTCTAAAATTTAAAAAATTCCAAAATCCATAATACTTCTGGTTCCAGGCATTTCAGTTAAGGGATATTCAACTTGTATTGTTAATTTAATCTTTTCTAAAATATCTTTTATCCTTTCGATCTCTTTAATCTTTTCTGTTTTGGTCCTGGGTTCTTTTCAGATATTAATGAATGCCAAGAGGACAGTGATGTTTGCCGTGGAGGGAACTGCATTAATACCAAAGGTTCTTATGAGTGCACTTGTCCAGATGGCTTCCAGCTAACACCCTCCAGGGGTTGTCAAGGTATGACCTGAATATACAAATGTTTTGATAAGAAAAATAAGAAACATACTTTTATTTCTCTTTAATTACTGCATTTTAGGAAAAACTCCAAATGCATGTCTTTTTCCTGTTACTTCAACATTGTAGCAGGAAACATGGGAGACAGCATGGTAAAGTGGTTTGACTACTGGACTAAGAAACTGAGAGACCAGGGTTCGAATCCCCATTCAGCCATGGAAACCTCTCTCAGCCTCAGAAGAACACAAAGGCAAACACCCTCTGAACAAAATCTGCCAGAAAACCCCGTGATAGGATCACCTTACAGTTGCCACTTGAAGGCACACAACAATAACAGGAAAAGTCACACCTGGCAGACATCTCCCTGATATTTAGAGTCATGTCCAGCAGTTTCATTCCATAAATATAAAATATCTGCAATTATCAAGAATAACACTTTTATCCTTGTAAAAATGTCAGTGTACTTTGATTTCATCTTCACAAGCTATTGCCCAAGGACCTTCAGAGCTCATTATGAGTATTACTTCATTCTAATATGAGTTGCTTGTGCTGCTTTTTCAAATAGTATTCACATAGCCACTAAGTTGTTATTGTGTGTCTTCAAGACATTTCTGGTGACCCTAAGGGGTTTTCTTGGCCAGTTTCTTCAGAGGGGGGTTGCCATTGTCATCCTCTGAGGTTGAGAGAGTATGACTTGCCCAAGGTCATCCAGTGGGTTTCCATGGCTGAACTGGGATTTGAACCCTGGTCTCCAGAGTCCTAATCCAACATTCAAACCACTATGCCACACTGGCTCTCCTTTTCCTCCTCCTTTCATCTTTTTCTTCTTTTCTTCTTTCTCCTTTTTATCCTCTCCTTCATCACTAGCTCATCTTTTGTATGCTAAACATACAACCCATTAAGGGAATAGCATTGCATCTTACAATTTTTCACTAGCATTCCATTCAGTAAAGCCTTTAGTTATTTTCTTTTAAGTCAACAGCTACAATCTTCAAATAAACACATTTGTAAAATTCCTATCCTCAGTGTCTGTATTCTCTTCTTAACAACTGAAGTAGACTTACTGATTTTTATTCATTAGTATGGACTATAAGTTACACAGCCAGTCTTTAGCCACTACTAGTCATGTATGTGCACACACGTAGTTTAAATGTATTTTTTGATCTCTCTTTCTCTACTCATAGATATCAATGAATGTGCAGGATCCAATCTCTGTTTACCTCATGGGGAATGTTTAAATACAGAGGGCTCTTTCCACTGCATTTGCGAGCAGGGGTTTACAGTTTCCAGAGATGGCCTGTCTTGTGAAGGTAAGATGAATTAAATGACAACAATAGGAATTTGTAGCACAAACCTTTGCATATCTGTGCTAGAGTAGGCCCCGCTTATTTTAGTGGAAATTACTTCCAGATAAGTGTGTTTCAAGTTACAGCCTTTACTATGTTGTGGTATATTAGAATAAGAACTTGTGATGGTTGACTAAAAATGCTTGTTTTGCTGAAACATAGCAAAACAAATCTAACTAGAGGAACACAGACTATGAAGGTATGATGGGGGGGGACACCTACGCAATACACAAAATGTCTCAACCACAAAATTTTCATTTACAACGCATGTGTGTGTGAGTGAATATATGAATTCTTCCTTCCCCCCAAAACTGGCCATCACAATCAGATATTTCAACTTGTATGAAAGTGAAATGAACAGGGAGTTTGGATAATTTCTCTGAAATTAGCATGAGAAGCTAGTCTCAAACCATTTTAGTAAGCAAAGCACCAACATACACAGCAAGCATCTTTAGGAAAGACATGATTATTACCAAAAAGAGGTATACAATCCATTCACTAGTTATACTTTTTAAAGTCTATGTAACAAAGAAGAAGCAATTGTAATATTTGTTTAGAAAAGTTTTCTTAATTTGGCCAAAGTTCTCACTGCAAATAAGGTTACTGATATGAAAATAAAATCTTGTGGCCTCACCTAGGGAGGAATAAAAATATGATAACAAGATAAGTGAGGATTTACATCGCTACTGTTCATAATTGACTTACATTGCTCCTACATGGGAATCAGTTTCCTTCATATTAAGCAGAACAGCTGCAGTGAATTAACCTTACTTATAAATCTGTGACATTTAAATCTAAAATGATAAAGCTTTAAAAAATAAAATGCAAATCCTATAACTTCTGTGAATCTGCAGTTCATTATATATGAAAAAGGTATCCACACTAATGTTTAAAAGAAAATAAGAGATGGATGCGAGAGTAACCCATCCTAGTTGTCATACTCAACAATAATTTTCACTGAGTCTCCTCCACAAAAGCTCTCATAAAATTCCTTAATCTGCAGTGTTGATGGAAGAGAACATTTTGCAATCAAGACAGGACAATAATTTGCTTAGATGATCTGCACAATGTAATTCTTTGAGTTTTCTCATAAAGGAAAGAACGAGGTCATTCTGTCCTCCCTTTTAGTGTCCACAGCCATGTCAGTGCCACCTCCTTGTCAACAGCATTAAAATTAGGGTATCAGTAGGGAAGAATAAACAAAGACAAATCTGAAGAACAAGGCAAGGCAAAAGAGAAGTCTGATTCCTATGCAAACAGTAGAGCCATAGTTTTGTGACCCTTTAATTTCCTGTACAAGACAATGCATGGAAATTCCTGTGCCTTGATCCATAACTTATGAGAGTGTGACAGCATATTCATTTGTATGCACAAAAACCTAATCGTGTTTAAATACTGTACTCCATAGGTTACAACATAGGGGTGAATAGAAAATCCTGTACCTTATTCCATAAATTATGACAGTATGGTAACAAATGCATTTTATATACAAAAAGCTAAGCTTATTTTAAATAACCCATAGGTTTACACAGATTGCCCTGAATCCTGTTGATAATCCCAAATAGAATAGATCTATTGGATCTATTGTTGAATCAAAACATAGGTAACTCCTATTGGCTCATTGGATCTACTCTACTTTTTTGTGTCAGCAGGATTCAGGCCACTTTTCTTGAAGCTCATGCATTGGTCAAGTCTCGTTGGTAATACAGAGCTTATATTAAGTAATTATGCAATTATTTCACTGATCCACACATTGTATTGGAATTGATGAACATGTTTTTTTGTTGTTGTTGTTTAGTGTAATAATACCGCCTGGGTCTTTCCCCTCCCCCTCTCACCAGACAAGTGGC